CCCAAGAGAGCGATTCTGATTTGGGAACTTCCCACCCCCAGTCGACACTATAACCTACCCCCGCCTCCCCAGCCCCTGGGAACCAAGGTGGGCGTACAGGCCGGACGGGAGAATTCCAACGTGGACGCAGTCCAGGGCCCCCCCCAGGGGACCCAGACACGATCCTCCCGAGTAGCTACCAGACCCACCTCCTGTGCCTTCCGTACGACGAAGACAGCAGCCTCAGGTGGTTCCTTAGAAACCCAACCGAGCTGAAGCGCGGACCAAGACAAATACTGGCAGATTGCGGATCAGAGCAGCGCTTCGCAGGATGTACGGAGGGCCTGAACCTCGTCATGACAGGAAGAGAAAGGGCGAGCCCCGCCGCAGAAGAGAAAGTCAGGGCCTGGGGGAGATGGCTAGTAAAGGAGGGCAGAGCGCACGGACTCAGACCCCCCACGGCTGAGGAAAGGGCGAGGGCCGTGGGCCTAGCCGGCTACTATCGAGGGCTCGGAGTGCGGGACAGGGCGCTCTATGACGCAGTCGGCATACACTTCGACCCCCGATGTTTACAACGCAGGATAGTGTTCGAACTACGGGCCTGTGGCGCGGGTCGCCCAGGCAGAGCAACCTGCGCACCTGCCCCCGCAAGCGGGCAGATAGCGCAGGGATGGGGGGCAGCGAGGACGCACGCAGGGGCGCAGTGCCCCTGGGCGCAGCTCAAAGAGCGCCCCCTCCCGGACGACCTTGCGGAGCAGTTGCTGCGAGAGGAAGGACTCTTTCCCCCGTCCCCGTTGACGCGCCCCTAGACTTTGCAGAGGGCCCCAGGACGCTTCGCCAGGCGCTGGGGCCCCCGCCCAGGCACCTCCCGGTACCGGGGCCGCGCGCCCGGGCATGGCAAGAAGCCCGCCGCGCTCTCAATTCCGACTTAGAACCCCGCTGTCAATGCAAAATCCGCGGGCCGAGGGGCCTGCGGTGCCTCCCCCGCTCCGACCCATGGGGCCACCTTGCGTGGGGCTCTCTCTGCGGACAGCTCACCCTCAACGACTTGCTCCGTGCGCTTGAAGCCACCCCAGCCGGCAGCCTCCCCAGCCTTGCCAGCTGGAACGCCAGATCTCCGGATCTGCACTGCTGCCAAAAACCGGCTCAAACACGCCCGTCTCACCCAAGTCACCATGAATGGCCGCATCGCCCTGGCGCAAGAAACGCATTGGTCCGAGCACGAGACGGAGGTCTGGAGGACAATGTTCCCAGCACATGCCCTGGTGGCTTCCCCGGGCTACCTGTGGCCGTCCGGAGGACTGGCCAGAGGAGTGGGCATCCTTCTCCCTCACGGCGTCGCTTTCCTCGAGCAACAGGTTGTCGTCCCAGGGTGCGCCGTTGCTGCCTTGGTCCAACAGGGCGAGCGCAGGTTCAGGGTTGTCTCGGTGCACCTCCCACCTTCCCGCAGGGAAGACACCTTCTCCGAGATCGCCTTGGCTTCGGAGCAATGGGAACACCTGGGCACCTATTGGGGAGGCGACGTCAACTTCCAGCTTGATGACCCGCGAGACGGCGAAGTCGAGGCTTCCGCCCTACTGATGGACCTGCTGACAAGCAGTGGCCCCACGACTGTCCGCGCGCCCGGGCCCGCCAGAACCGACATAGACAACGAATCACAGATCGACGTGCTTGCGTGCCCAGTGCGGCAGACGTGCGCCTACGAAGTCCGTAAGCTCTGGAGGCTAACGCTGTCGGATCACGCACTCATCGCCCTGGAACCCCAAGGTGCCAGAAGGGCCAGACGGGACAACACTATGAGGGCTGGGGGCCTCAGGAATCTCCCCGCCGCCGCGCGCGCGGACCTCCGACAGCTCTTCTTCCACCTGGAGCTCACCTTTGGCCCCCCCCCGTCAACCTCGCAGGCTTCATCCAGCCGGTAGACTGGGTTTGGCCGGCTCGCCCGGGAGGCTTCCCCGACAGGCGCGTTGACAGCGACGACGGCGAAGTCACCATTCATAACGCCCCCCCTGCGCTCGAGCGCGCCCCGGCCGCCGACCGCGACGCCGGCCGCGCCCCGCCGGTCCTGCCCGCTCTCATGCGGTTCGGGAGACAGGCGCTCTCCGCAGCATTGCAAGACTGGCTGGGGAAATGGAAGAAGCACAGGTCACGGGCCTCGCCGGGCCTCCTCCTGGCAACAGCCAGCCAGAGGAGCGGGGCGACGCGCCCGGTCGGAGCACTGGCAACGTGGCTGCGCGAGTACAGATGGGACGGGCAAGACCTTGCCCCAGAATCATCGGCTGAATGGCTGAGAAGGTGGGACGCCGAGACAACCCGGAGAAGGGCTGCCAGACCGACACCGGCTCAAAGAGGTCCCGGCGCGGAACGAACCCCCCTGGCCGCCCACTACAGGACCGGTAGGGAAATCTACAAAGAGACCCGCGCCATCCTAGGAGTTCGCGACACCACTGGCACCTGGCAGGACAGACCCGAGCAGGTTGACAGCGTCCTCTGGAACAGCCGCAGTGCGAAATGGCACTCCGCCCTCCCTCTGCCCGAATCCGCCTCTCGGCTCCGCGACTTTTACCTCCGCCAGCGCCCGGCATCGACGTCTCCGACAGGCCCCGGCCAAGCTGGGGCAGGCTGGCCTCCATCGTCGTCACTCCCAGCGGAAGTGCCCCTGGGGTAGACGGTGAGCCCTACGAAGCATATCACCCGGGGGCTAGGTTTGTCGCCTGCCTCATCGCCCAGGCCTGGCACGCGGCCGACCTCAATCCAGCGCTCCTGGACGGAGTGCTCGGGCCATCAGTGGACCTCTTGGTTTGGATCGGCAAAAAAGCCGGAGCCGAAAACCCCGGCGACATGAGGCCGCTCCAGCTACCCACCTGCCTTCGGCGTCTGTACGGGGCCTCCCTTGCTGACCTGTTGGGCCCGTCAGTTGAACCCCTCCTAAGCCGGAACCAGGCGGCCAAAAGAGGAGGGCAGTGTGGCCCCAACATCGCAGAGGTTACCCAGCACCTTGGGTCTCCTCCCAAGCCACCTGCCGAACCGGGCCCGGCATGGCCGGCCCTACTGGGCAGGCGCCGGGGGGCCGTGGACGACTTCATCGAAACAGCCGCAGCAGTGGTAGGGAATGCTCCATGCACGGCGGTGATCTTCTGCGATCAGAACAAGGCCTTCGAGCGAATCTCGCTTCAATGGATGGGGAACCTCTTCCGAAAATGGAAGCTACCCCCCTGGCTACTTCGCGCGCTGAACTCCTTCGTCGGGGACCGTCGTGTGCAGACGTGCAAAGGCAAGTACAAGGGGCCCGAAAGGCGCCTCCTACGGTCCGCAGGAATGGGAGGTGCCGCCTCTCCGCTCCTGTGGTGCATGGGGTACGGCCCCTTTATTTCAGCCATCGCAGGCATCGCCTCCGACGATGACCCCGCATACGTAGACGACCTCGCAGCGCTGCTCAGCACCACAAAGCAGACGTTGCGCGCCGCCATCGCCCTCCCCTGGGCCGCGCACGCCGCAGGGCTCCTGGTAGAGGCACGCCGATGCAGAGGGATCAGGACGGCAGACTCAGAGGCCCTCAGGGCGGCGCTGGAAGGAACCCCGGTACACAACGAACAAGACGATGGCGACGTACTAATCACCGGGCTCCCAGGCGAGCTCATACAGGCCCTCGTTGAGGGAAGCAGGGAGCAAGGCACGCCCACTGGTACACCTCGTTCCTGCGCCCCTGCAGCTCCACCCTCAAGACGGCACTTGTCCCAGCCGGCCACCGCGAGTGGTGGCGGTCCCTCATGGAATATACCCCCTTCGGGAGCTCCTCGGTGCGGGACCAGTGGCCGTACCTCGGTGCGGTAGTGGTCTCCCGTGCCGCCGAGGGTGAGCAGCTCCCCCCAGATGATGGACTCACCAAAGGGCAGAGCGACGCCCTGACCAGAAGCACCTGGGAGCGCCCCCTCCCAAAGATGAGGGGCAAAGCCATGGCCCTGCACCTTGCCAAGATGTCCCCCTCCCGCACCGCTGCCGCCT